TGAAGTCTATTTTTTGTCAATTTTATCATATTATCCCTTCCCTTTAGAAGTGAAATAAAACTAAAAATTAAAAACTATTAAATCTTAAGAGTTTGACTAACATTAAAATTTTCTCTTATATATATAGTACCATTAAAAATAAAAAATAATATCATTTAAATATAAAAAAAAATATCATTTGGATACAAAAAATAATACATTTAAACACAAAAAAATAGTAACATTTAAACAAAAAAAAAATTAAAACATTCAATATTAATATTTTTAAAAAATAACAGCAGTAATATGTTCAACAAAAATATTAACATGTTTAACAAAAATAGTAACATGTTTAACAAAAATTGTAACATACTTAATAATAATTATTTCTCTCAAATTCAAATGTAAAAAATAATACCATTCAAATACAAAAATAGTAATATTAAAAAAAAATAATATTGAATATTAATATTTAGAAATATAATAGTAGTAACAACCTCAACAAAAATAATATCATGCTAAAAAATAATAGTAACATGCTCAACAAAGGCAGTAACAAGAACAGTAACATAATAAAAAAAATATTAACATGAATTTGAATTTTACTATTTCAAATTCATAGTAATTTTTTTTTTGTATTTAAATATTACTATTTTTTATTTTTAATGTTACTATATATATATACCTAACCTATATATGAATATAAATAAATAAGAAAAAGGAAAAATTTTAATGTTAATCAAACTCTTAATCTATATATGGATAAAGATAGATATGAGAGAAAAAAGAATAACTTTCTTTTAAGAAATGGTATTTTTGAAATAAAAAAAAAAAGTGGACTTAAGTCATTACATATAATTTTAAACATGGAGTTAACCCCTTATAAGTTTCCTTTTATGACTTATTTTCAAACAAGTATATCTAGGGGACTTATTTTTAATTTTCACTAAAATTTATTAATTTGTAACCGTTTTTAATCGAACTTGTATTATGCATAATAAGATTCTCTCACCTACTATTGAGCGTGTCTAATCGGTTAATCAAGATATGATTCAAATTTGTTAATGTTAAATTCATATATAATAATTTTGTGTCGAATCAATAGGTCATATTTATTTCCTTGGGTTTGAAAACTCCATCAACAGGTTGGAGTTCGGTATCTTCCGGCACTTCGGAGTTTGTTTTTTGTGTTTAACGGGGAGAGATATTCATGTCCGTTAACGCATATTTTGACGAATTTTTTTTCAAGTTCAATCAAATGCAGTTCATTTACGCTGAGACTAAAGTATTAATGAAAAATAAATCTCTTATAACCTGACACCAATAAATGAATGAATTGTCAAATTTAAACTCAAAATGTCTGAATTTACAACTCATCTCTACGATCCATCCAGCAATTTTGATATATTCATTCTTCTACTGGGACTCCGTCGGATCCTGTTCGAAGAGGGCAAAGTGGTTTTATATCCATTGAACTACATTTAAAGCATCACATGAATGTACGCTGCTACTTCTTCCCACATACAACTGCTAAAAGCATTAATTGTCTGTCAAATTAAATGCTTTTCTCGATCAAAACAAACATTTAACCCCCTCCAAAAAAAAAAACCCAGAATGGAGTCTGCGTTTGAAAACAAGAACAAGTAAATCTCACGTTGAAGTGTCGGGAATGTCATGCACTAGACGGATGGAGGGGATGAAAATTTAAACCCGGATCCTGGATCCGATGAGGAACCATGGGTCAAGCCTTCATGTACTTTCTAAAGGCATGACGAGATGAATACAGCATTGCACATTGGCTAGGCAGGGGAAAAGAACTGGTAGTCTTAACTGGCAATAACTAAAACTTAGTCCACCAAATCTCAGAGTCAATACAGAACAGCTCAATTTCACAAGGATGCTCAAACTACCCCATAGTTCTTGTATCTTTTCAAGGTAAACTAGAACTAAACTGCCTAACACCGACCGAATTTAACTTAGATTTTCTAAAATTGCAGCAAAACACATTAAAAAGATTTTCTTCCTTGGATGATAAGTCGAGTAACAAGAAGCAGTCAAAATTTATTTACCCTCACTTGAATTCCCCTTTACACGATCCTTTGAGGAGGCAGTTGTGAAATAAAAAGACAATTCGATTCGCCTTGACTGGATCGCAGTTTGGGAAAGGCGGGATCACTTAACAAACACTCAACAAAATTAAAGAATTTCTCTAACTATAGATAGAGACAATAATAAATGCAGACATAAAATCTAAAAGGGCCAATTCTTGTCACTTACAGCCACTGCCAGCTTGCTTCCACGACCCTTACAGCAAGCATCATTATTGGACTGTAGGCAACATAATGTTCTGGCACTGATGGTGAAATCAAAAGCCATTACCCAAGTCCCAATATGGAACATGGGTGGTGGTTGCCTAGCTTGCCAAGGTCCAACCAGGACAAGAATAAGGGGATTGCATGTAGTTGCCCGAAACAAAATTAGCTGGCTGATGGGTCCACTTTCCATAATTTGAAGCTGACTTTATCTAAAAAAAAAGGGTCTAGTGTCCAATACTGCTTCATTTTTTTTTTTGGGGGGTGGGTGGGGGTGGGGGGTTAGACTAGATTCCATATACTTCCATCCATAGCAGCTTTTCGGTGACTCGATCCTGCATATATATGATATATCCGGCCTGATAGTTCATATTGATCAATAACATGCAAATTCTAAGGATATAGATCTGAGTTAACCAGACCAAAGGCAGAAGAAAGCAAGCATGAGGTACTGTTGATGCAAATTTCATTTCGCAATCAAAGAGAAATCAATCAATTGGTATAATTCCTATAAGAATGAAGAATCAATTATTTGTATTATACAAAATACATGTGACAGGAAGTGACCGTACAGCAAAAAACTATGGAAGAAAAATAAATTACAGTTAAGCTTTAAAAACTTGCATTAGGTCGAACCGTAGGTGGCAATATTTCCGTAGCGCTATCTCCTCCTATTTGGCTGGTTAAGGTTCCTACTACTATCACCTTCACTGGTATCAGAAGTGCCTTCGCCAAGTTGTTTATCACCTAATTTTGGACCAGCATGATTGTCTTCTATGTGATTGCGATGGGAGTGGGAAGATTCTTTTCCAATTCGTCTTTCCTGCAAATTAAGGTGAACAATAGGTGAAGGGTTAGGAAACCACAGCAAAATTGGAAAGATCATCCTATTTGCCCGATTTGAACAAGTTAAACAATCCATGCTGAAATTTGGGAAGGAGCAATGCTTATGAAAAAGAGAAGGTGCATACATCCCGAAATAGCAAGTCATCCGCCTCAAGCATGTGGATTACATGCCCCATTTTGGGCCTCTTATGTGAATCGGGATCAACACATCGAAGAGCAACCAAAAGAACACGTTTGAGTGCTTTTGAAGCAGGCATCTCAGGCAACTTGGGATCCACCACTTCCTCAGATTTTCGGTTTCCAACCATCGTTTTCAACCAATCCACCAAATTAACCTGTTGTTATTTGTCATTTCCAGTTGTTAGAGAAGCATGAGGAACTTAACATATTAAAGGGGCAAAAAAGAAACTGGTCACATTTATATTTAGAGCCTAACCTCTCCTTGGGGTCGATTATAATCAACAGGGTTTCGCCCAGTAATAATCTCCATGATAAGTATTCCAAAGCTATAAACATCACTCTTCTCATTCAACATCCCAGTGCAAGCATATTCTGGTGCAACATAACTAGTAAATCCACGAGGTGTTAGTTTTTGTCCAATTTGAAATAATAAAAACAACACAAGACTAAGAAACTTAAATCACTACCAGGAATATTAACAAAATTAAATTTGAAGGAACTAACCCAAAGGTTCCCATCACACGAGTTGTCACGTAAGAATTCTCAGAACACAAAAGCTTGGCCAGCCCAAAATCGGACACCTTTGAATTCCATTGACGATCAAGTAGAATGTTGCTAGATTTAACGTCTCGATGTACAACCTTAGGTTCAAGACCCTCATGGAGATAGGACAAGCTGCAACAGGAAGAGTATAGCATTAAAAAACTAAGCTATATTCACAGGTCCTCTAATACAATGAAAAGGCTGTAAAATTAAGTTTTGAAATATATATTACAATACCCTTTCGCTGTTCCCAGTATAATATTCATACGAATATTCCATGTTAAAGGGCTGACTTCCCCAACTTCTCCATGAAGCCACTGATCTAAATTCCCATTATCCACATACTCATAAACAAGCATCCTAGCAACATAACCAGAGTATGATAATTAAGCTTCTTAACAATCAAAAAAATAAAACGGAAGCCCAGTTTCAAATCAGAAATAGAAAATTTCGATACCTATAAGCTCCCTCAACGCAGTATCCTAGCAACCTGACAAGATTCTTGTGCCTCACGCGGCCAATTACTTCAACCTCTACTTTAAACTCCTTCTCAGCCTGACCCCTGATAATTCACAAATCTCATATGTAAACCAGAGTTTCCGGTCTTTACGTCAAAAAGCTGCCAACTTTTCAACAATTGGAAGCAAGGAATAGACAGACCTAAAGCTATCAATAAATTATAGAAGTGTAATTGCAGTTTTTCCAGCATTTTCCACACTACACACAAAAAAATTCCATTAGATATGAGAATCTCAAGCCAATATCCCCTTATAGAATAACTTACTACGAAAAAGATATCTAAAATTTGGGGTATTGAACTTGTCCCATTACTCTTAGGAAAAAAAAGACCTTGTCCTTGAACTAAATATTTGGTTTCAAGTCAAAAAGAAAGTCAATTTCTCACAAATCAGGTCACTTTACATCACAAATTCCAACTAAAAGCAGACAAGAATCGGGCAAACCATTGTCATACCGAAAGTATATGTATAAAAATCTCGATTTACTTTCAAAAATTTCTTCGACCACAGAAAAGTATGAATTATTTTCATGTCATCAAACGAAATATAAATCAATAAATAATTTTCACATAAAAAGATAAAGGCATATCTATATTGGAATAATAGGTTAAAATTGAGTGAATTAAGAAAAGAAATAGTACTTGTTATTCAACAAATTCTTCACAGCCACGCGAGTATTATCTGCCAAAACACCACCATACACAATCCCGTATCCGCCTTCTCCGATCACATTCTCATCAGACAAACCATTAGTGGCCGCCTCAAGCTCTCTCAAAGTGTACCACCGTCCCCAACCTAAATGCGAAACCTCCGGCAACGACCCACCACCCCCAAACGACGCCGTATCAGCCCCACTCGTCGCCCTACTCTCCCCACTTGACGCCCTATCCGAAAACACCACTCTGTGCTCTACCTTCCCCATATCTATCTGGATCTCCGGTAACCCCTAAAATAATCAAAAAAATAGAAGAGACAAATTCGTTTCAATAAGGTCGTAAATAAGCAGAACTAGAAAACAAATAAATTTATAGTTCAGATATTCCTAAATTCGATAATGTTAAGATCTCGAATATATGTATGTATATATATAGTTTCGTGCCTGAGGGAGGATGGGGCGGTGATCAGGAGCGGAGCCGTGGAAGATCTCTTGGATTTCTTTGGAAACGACAGGAGTGAGCTCGCTGGAGAGCTTGGCCGGGCGGTGGAATTTATTGGTGCTTTTGCGCCGGCGAGAGGTGATGCAGAGAGAGAGGAGAAAGAGGAAGAGAACGATGATTGCACCGACGAAAATTCCGATTACCACCCATAGTCGGAGTCCGAAGATTGATGTCGGTTTCGAGAGCTCGCTGTTCACGAATGCGGCGTCGTACACTGACATCTTGGAGGTAGAAAATAGAGAGAGAGAGAGAGAGAGAAAGAGACTGAGACGCATATATAAGTGTATGTATGTGTGTGTATAGAGAGAGCGAGAGAGAGATCAGAGGATTTGGGATTGCATCAAGTTGGATCTTTCCGGGCTAAATGGCATTGTTTTCGCCGGAGAATGTGTTTCCCGGCGGAAATTGGGTGCTCCAGACAAACAGAGATGGGAATGAGCGAACTAGGAGAGAGAGAGAGTAGAGTTTCACTGACTAAAATGAGCTGGACTTTATCTCTCTAGATTTAAATATTTAGTGGAAAATTGTGAACTGTCTATAAAAAAGTCCACAGGCATGTGGTAAAATGACGAATATGTCCTTCGATAGTAGTATAAACTGTAGACTCTGTAGGCAAAGCAACTCCACACACAAAACAAACCAAAAACGAAAATTAACGAATTTTTATTTAATTCTAATAGATTTAGATAATAACTGAGTGAATTTGTTAAATATATCAAATAAAAAATATTAAATACTCAATTGATATTTATACATAATAATAATCAATTTTATGATACCAAAAAAAATTTGATATTGTATCAAAAACTACTATCTTTTGAAACGAAATTACTTCTTTTAAAAATAAAATTATAGTTATTTGAAATAAAATCTTAATTAATTATTAAAAATTATAATCAATCATGAATATCTCAGATTAATTATAATTGTGTCTTTAAAAGATATAACTTGATTTAAAAAAATAATAATTATTATTATTTTTTTGGTTATAATTTTTACTTAAAAAAATATAATTTAATCCCTTCAAAAATAATAAATTTTCTTCTTGGGAATTGAGTATAAAACGCAGACAAGACAACATTGACACTCTGAAAGTGCTTTTGGGCTGTGGAATTTGAGGTCATAATATTACTACGCCAATTATGGTGGGTGATCTTTGGGACCCACTTTTAACGGGTAGAAGCAGATGGAGTTCGGATCTGATCGTTTTAGTGACTTTATTACTTTAGGATTAGGAGGGTATGGGTGTGTTAGACTAGAGTGAGGGCCACTAGGAAGTGGGGCCCACAAGACATATGGGAACATTTTGTTCCTGAAAGATTCTTATCAAAGGTTTATTTAGCATTACAACCAACAAGTGGGCTACTTAAGAGTATTTTATGGATTTAAATTCTTTTTTATATTTATTTATTATTAAATATAATAAATCACCTTAGAGTTAAGAACTTCTTTATAACGCCCTTGAGGCTTAAAATTAAATATTTTAAACACACTTAAAATGAATTAAAATCGTTGAGTAACATTAAACTCATACCATCATCATGGTATGAATAAGATAATTACAATGAGATAATTAAAAAGAAGGATAAAATAAAATAAAAATAATTTTCAGATTTCTGCTACTTATATTTGTCAAACAATTTAATTCATTTTTTTAATAAATATCAAACAATCTGTGAATTAAAAAATTTAATATTCAATTTTCAGTATTCAACTTTCAATTTTATTAAACACTACCGCTACAACTTAGAGTCTCAGTTTAACTTCGAATTCAAAATATACCACTTACCATTACATTAATACTATACAAACCAATGGAATAGAGGGTTGACGTTTGATTTAACTATGAATTAATAGTGGACAAGTGTGACTATGTTGGAACCCACTTACATTTATTACAAATATTTAATATTAAAAAAATATATCTAATCCATATCTACATTTTGTGGGAGTGAAATCCTCTTTAATAATTTTTTTTTCAATTTCTTTCTTTACTCGTCATCCATTATGCATTCAAATGAAATTCATTGTATATAAGTGAGACCCTCGCTTATTAATAGTGATTAACGTGTCAAAAAAAAAATTAAAAAAATAAGTGTACTGAAAAAAATCAAAATTTCATTTTGTGAGGTGTTAGAGATATTATTAACTCGATGATAGAATGAAAAGAATTAACAGTTGACTTAATGACCATCATTCTCGTTATTGAACCTTAAAATCACAAGTCCGAACCTTAAAATCTCATCATCCTTTCTCCTGTAATAATATATAACCAAACAAAAAAAAGAGAGATTCTTTTGGGCTTTCTAGATTAAGATAATAATAAGAAAGTTATCTATGCACCATTAAACAAATAATCATTATTTAGATTGAACCATAATATTGGAAAAAGATTCTTTGCAAGGAATGTTGGTATGGCACTATTGGGTGGGTGCAGTTGCACTATCATAAAACTTACTATCATCTTTCTTGGTAATGATTAATACTTTTTAGTTGAACACTACCAACCCATTGGTTTATTAGAAAGTGACTACCAACTTACTTGGACTACTAAAAGCAACTACACCCTTCCTATCTAGTGGACAATGAATTAGATAAAGCTCACTAATGGAATCATAATGGACCATATTCATCCATCCAAACCCAACTTTCTACAATTGTTTTTGCAGCTCTTTCTATAAATAATATCGCGATTTCCTTTTTCGAAGTATCAGAAATCAAACTTACCCAAAAGAAAGTATCGAAATATAGCTACTTTCAATAATACCAACCAACAGATATTGAGACCGAGTCATAAAAAATTTATTCATCATAAATATCTATTCTCAACGTGGATTGTCTACTTTTGACCGGACCGAAAAAAAAATAGTTCAAATACACATAAAATAACTCAGACGTCCCCGACCGTTAAACCCAAAAAAAAACTTACAATGCCAATTCACCTAGCAATAAAAACCCAAATTTAACCAATACAATGCAAATGAGTCTTTGTATTTCAAAATTTGTATTGCAATCATAAATCCAAGACTGGTGATAAATACAAGTAAATTCCTCCACCAAAAAAAAAAAAGAGGTCAAACTGACCAAAAACAAAAAACACTGCAAATTGTTCATTGTTACCTGTTTGGGAAGTATAGGCTAATACCATTTAGGACCTCAAACAATATGCCAAAACTCTGGATGCTGTTCTCAGGAATGGCTAAGAAATCAGATCTAAAATATTGATAACTCCTGATCCTAATCTATCATTTTAAGTCTTGTTGGTTAGGAAATGAGTTGCTGCCTGAGGCCAAGCAATTCAAAACAAGTTTAACTTTATCTACCAGATTTTGAAGGCCAAAGAATTCTACAAAGAGCCTCCAATATCTAATAACTGCATTGGCAAATATTAATCTACCATCCTGCATAGAAATTGGAACTGCCACATTGTAGTAATCAAATCCTGCTAAACACCTGTGTCTGGAAAATAAGATATGTGGCCAATACTGGCAGATGAAAAACAAAGATATGAACTTCAGCTGTTCTTACCTGATACAGGCACAATACAAAAAGTATCCAGTTACACTAGGACATTCCATGGCCAATTTTCTTCTTTTTCACTCCATTAATTCTCTTTAAACTCAGTTTACCGTTTGGTGTGGAATCTTGGCACGATAACTAGAAAACCATCACTTACCTGCTGAATTCATATAGGAAAAGCAGTCTTACAGATATTGATCCTCATGCTTGTGGTGATTCTGCTCAATGTATGACATGATCTAATTCTATGTCGAACTCTAGATTGACCTTGTTGCAGTCAGTCTTCCTTTTTATCAGGTTCATCAATTGCAGCCAATCTCTCAACCAGTGGAGGATGAGAATAGTGATATGCAGAATACCAAGGATCTGTGTTCATAGCTGACAAGTTCTCCTCCTGGAAGAATATCAGACAATTATCAGTAAGGTCATCTCTAACCTTAACTCAGGTTTTTACTTAAATTTGAGTCAACATTGGAGTAAAAAGTTTGATTTGATACAAAACACTCGAATGGACAAACCCAAATTTAAATGAGTAAAATATGACCATTAGATCTTGAGAATGAAATTTGACCATTGAAAATTTGATTACACATTTAAGTCACCCTTGATTTAAGTAAAAATTTGAGTGTCCCTTTCTTTTTGTATGGGTTTGAATAACTGATTGGAGCTTGTTTTTAGCCTTTTTTACTCAAATTTAAATTTGAGTCAAGACTTGAATAAGGGTTAGAGCATGTTCTAATACCTACTGCTATGTTACTACTGATTTCTGACAAGTCTGATGATACTCCAGTACACAAAAGTTGGAATTAATAGCAAAAGTTGGCAGAGACGTTATTGCAACCTTAGGAGCAAACTAATCATGTGAATGGCCCATAGAACAACAAAAACAAAAACTCAAAAAACAGAAGCAAAAAAACAAACAAGGTCAGTCGGAATTAATAGTTTCAAATAGTCAGTTTGAAATGTGGAGGTATTTGACGCAAATTCACGAAACACACACGACAGAAACCACCATGCAAGAGTGGATCTGCAACTCGTCTCAAAGTGACAATGCTTATGGGCGTCCACAGCATGATCACCTTTGCCAGTAACATCAACTAAATAAACAGGGCAGGACATTTTTATATAAATGGAGGAAAAAAAGGCAATTCACCTGCAATTTCACAAGACCAGCTCGAAGTGCCGAGGAATAACCAAGCTTCTTAGCAAAAGCATCAGCCTTTGTGGAAAAGAAGACATCATAATAAGATATGGGCCAAGGAAAAAGTAGTAATAGAGACTTCAAAGACAACAGCTCTGGTCGGAATACCAGAGAGTTACCTGGAACTCGAAAGATCGGCTGACAAGATTTAGAGCAAAGCTTACAAGATGCTGAAGAGGTATTACAGTGTGCTGCAATGAACAAGGTTGGGTTAAATATCATAAATAATAACAATATTTGAGGTTCTATTTATTTCGAAAAAGGAAACCTAAAAAAAATGCAGTATGTTTACTATAACAATAAAAATCACTATAACAATAATAATCATACAAAGTCAGGCTACGCAAATACCATGAGTTTGCCATGTATCAAGAGCTCCTTCAATCTAAAGAGCTTGGAACATTAATTGCTTTAGTGAACCACAGAAAGCTAAAGGTATCTTGGTGAATATGTATTGTAATGAGACTAAAAACAAATGAAAATCTAGAACAAATTCATTTCTTTGGCATGTCAAAGTGACACCTAGTCTAGGTCTTTTGATAGAAGTTACAGGCTGTACAAGTGTTCATTAAAATTAACTTGGGTAATATTAAATACACAAATAAACAAAATTATATGGTAAGAGAAGCAATACAAATAATACCACCCAAAATTCAACTTCTCAATTCTAGACCCCAATGCTTGCATAATTTGAAATGTAGCAGCTGATTAACCAGCTTTCTCTTCCAAACTTTCTGGTTATTCTCTTACCCACTTGGGATGCATCCACGGCTTTAAAAATTCTACTAATTTGTTCAACATGCCATCAATATCAAATATGAAAATTCTAACAAACCACTAGATTCTAAAATGTGCAGAAAGCAGATGACCAGAATACTTAGGCAAAGTCCCAATAGTGCATAACAAGAGAAAACCAGGTGCGCGACAGCAAGCACAGACTTAAAAACACACCACATGTTGCTGCACGGTATATTATTACCTGAAATATGATAAGTCCAATAAGGACAGGTTGTGTATCAAATCCAAAACTCCGAAACAGATCACTTGAGTTCCTCACAAGAGTGTACCCTCCAAATTGCAAGAATGTTAGAATCTGCATAGTTTAATAAGATCAGAACTTAAGATCACATATCCTTCTCAAAGTTAGAAGTACAAATTTAAGCACATAGTATTTTACACATGCTCCCCTATAGAAGTGTAAAAAAGAGCTACATGACCAGAACATTCAGTTAGGATTCTATACATGATCCTACTATAGAAATGTTTTAAAAAAAGAGGCTACATGACCAGAACATTCAGTCTCTTGCAGAAAACCTTCCCATCTTTCCACAGCTTAAAGCAAGCTTGACATGCAAGGTATAACTTGTTTCCTTGAACAAAAAGGATTGTTTTCTTAATCTGATTAATGGAAGATAATCATAAAGCCTTTGGACTTCACATGGTGAAAAAATAGGTTCTAGTATAAGAGCTATCACTTTGCCCAAAAAATGCTCCATTTGAGTTTGTAACCGGTCAACTCTCTGATCACCCCGCACTGACAAGACCAGAATGGGAAATGTGAAAGTTCAAATTCAGTGAGTCAATGCACAAAGAGGACTCTACTCTATCATAACTTCGACCATAGAAATGAATACGAGGTGAACCCTCAGGTGTATAAATTCTTTAAATCATCATACAACCAATCCTTAATTCAATAGAGTCTTGAAAGGCAGACATTTTTATTGACATTAGATATATTCATTGCTTTTCAGAGCAGAAAGTTATAATACAGATTCATGCAGGCTAAAAGAATAGCACACATACGGCTGTCTGTCAGCCAGGCCAGACCACAAACTCAACATGCACGCAATCCAACACACACACACAGAGATTAGAGAGAGAGCACCTGTGGTTTTCATATTATTTTCGTCCACCCAATTTCACGTATCAAAATATGTGATCTAACACTGAACATTTTCCAATATTGCTGAATATAACCACTACAGCTAAAAACACATCATTCTACACTGCATTCATGGAGCCACAAAGCTATGCCTGAAGTTTTCCTTGAGGGAAACACCCAAGTGTGGTACTAGGAATCTCACATGCCTCCCAGAAAATGATTCTAATGACATTTATGCTAGCTAGAAACTTATTGATAGCTGAAAGCACTTCCTATACATCTCCAACTATGCAGACAGTATATGAAAGTATGGAACCAATGCCACAAGTGATATATGTAAAGAACATCCAGTTTGCTTGAGAACTGTTACATCATACCTGGACCGCAATGAAGGAGTACATGGTATGATTAAGCTTCCAGTGACCCAGTTCATGGGCAATAACAGCAACAACTTCTTCCTCGTTTTTGCACTGCATAACATAACAAAGTCATACATATAGGTAAGAAAAAGAAAAACGAAAGGATGAGTTACTTCATGAAAATGACTACATGCCCAAAAAAAACAAGTGTGCATGTGTTTTCATACAAGAGATTATTTCAAATCAATATCACATCTGGAGGTCTCAGGCTATCATATGGTCAAAGTATAGACAATAGCATACTATCCATCAAATGTCTCATTTGTGTAAGTCACCCTAACCTCTACCCAACATGTGATTTGGAAGACATCAGTTTTTTTTTCCAACAGGCATCAGTAGGCTTATAAGAGTACAACCTGGACTCTGAAGAACAGGCATGTGCATTGTGTCAAAGGTAATTTTTTCTCTCATTAATACAAACATGGTAGGAAAAAGATCAAAACACAATAAAGCCTCATGACATTAGGTTCGTCAAAAAATTACAGCACAACGTCAATGCACTCTACACTTGAGGCACACAAATTCCACACCCATGATACACCAAGAGTCCAAGTAGCAATAGCTATTGATTTAGCTGAGCCAACTACATAAAATTATTCCCAAGTGAAACACTCCATTCACATGGAAAGAGTATTCAGCAGAAATCTTTTTCTTCTACCCCACCTGACCCTCTTTTTTTCCCTCAAACATGGATCTTAATTAAGTTAGCAAGAAGATTGTCTCTATGTTACAAAACGGTACAAAAAACAAAACGACATAAAATATTCATAAAACGAAGTTCATCAGTTCACATAGACATAATTCTCAAGAAGAGTATATAACCATACCTGCTGGATTAATGTGTCATAAAGGACAATACGCTTGTTTTTAAAGAATCCATACATGTAAGCCTGCATATGTTGACAAACTCAATTAATATACAAACTATAAATACAGTTGACATCTAAACTGAAAGCATGAGGCATAGACTAAAAGACCAACGAGGATATTACTGTTCCCAAGAATCAGTGACAACACAGTGAAGTAATGACAATTCAAAATGTACATTTCAATAGTCTTTGAATTTCTGACTTCCTAACTAATGTATGCCCCAGGATGAAAAACGTATCAGTTGCTCATTTCAAGCACATGCTAGATACTAGATAGAGAAGTCAATGTTATTTGCTATCTGTATGTGTGTAAATATATACATATATAATAACTAGCATTCATTTTATTCTATTGAATCAGATCAAAATAACTTTTGAGATATCCTCCATAACCCTGAAAAGTGACATAAAATATTGATATACGATACTGTTGACTTTCTTTGGCTTCAACCTCAGTAAATCCACAAGTTTAATGGAGCATGAAAATTCAGAAATGTTTACCTCCATTATGTCCTACATACATAGTTGAGCAGTCACTGACTAATAGTTATGGTGAGAAAATATTATATGAAATTGACCGCTATTCTTTTCTACAAAGGGATCAACACAGGTTTAACTTCGAGGATGAACATATTGTGCAAAATAAACAGTTTTGCTATCCCTTTGAAGGCACTCCCAAGTAAATTAAGAACTTAAAAAACTGAATGTGGCAAGTCCTACAACGTATCACCCTGATAAAAAGAAAGCAAGTAAAGACAGGAATGTAAGCCCATGTAAACAGAGAGATCATAAAAAATGAATGTGACAAGCAAAACAAGGTATCACCATATAATTAGTATATTATGTATAGCAGAAGAAAGGAATACAAGAATCAACGGAAAAGTAAGGTACAAAATGGAATTCTCACATTGCTATGGCTTGACCTTGTAGACCCATCAACAACGAACAATTTCTTTAATGGAAACTTGAGAGAGGATGCAAGATTCTCAATTTTCACCCTAAGTTCTCCATCTGGAAGCTATTTGTCACAAACACAGCCAAGGGATATTAGTAAAATACACAAAAGACATAATTTATTTCTTCAATGATGGGGACAAGAATAAATACACACTCACTGGCGTGAATTTGTTGAACAGAGGGGCTATTAATAGAGGGTAAAGAGTCATCATCACAAGAGACAAAACAAGCATAAACCCCCAAAGATAAATTGCCAAGTAAGGACCTCCTTTCTGCAACCAAAAACGAACATCATTAGTCACTAACCAAAGGGAAATAATAGCATTAGGAATGCAAATAGAAAATAAACTGTACAACACCTTGGTAGCAAGTAAACTGAAAATCAAAAAAAAAAAAAATACATATCATACACATACAGGCAGAATCAGAATCACACATATCGAATAGCAATCCACTTATTTCCATAACAGATACTTGCCTTCATGCTAAAAATTAACAGTACCTGCACTATAACGACGATTGCAGCCACAATAGGCGGCCCAATCACTATAGATAAGGCAATTCCTTTGATCATGTCTCTAAAGAATAGCCATACTGTTTGCTGTAGAACACAAATTATGTACATTTTAGAAATGCAATCCAGTAAAAAAAATGATGAAATGAGCAACAAAAGTAAAAGAAGCAGACAAAGTAAAATGAGTAAAAAAAGATAAAATAACCTACTAATGCAAATGTTTAATGACAAGGCAATCAAATTAAGAAAACTAACTTTGTTGAAACCATGGCGGGCCTCAATCACAAAAGTTGAGTACAAAGAAAATGGCAAATCAGTAATCTGCATAAGAATTCAAAACAACTGTAAGCAACTAAGAATTAGATTAGAGTAGGCATATGAGTTAAAAATTCTGCAATACATCCATTTATGAAGATGGCCTTTATATTTTAAATATCGTCAGGTAGCGACAATCCGGCATTGATCCTCATCATGAATTTAGCATTTATTGGTTCTCACACACGCACAGAGACAGAAATCTAGTGTGGGCATATATGGTTGGGATAGTCCAGGAAGCTGATGTCAATTTGAGCACCCTGAACCCAAACCAAGCCATTTAACATATGAATGTATGAACCCAAACCTATAGCCAACAGTTTCTGCCCCAACCCACTAACTCAACGTCCTTGAATGGGTAAACATGTTTAGTGATTATCCACCAAGTATATTCAAAGTTGGAAAAGAAAAATAGGGTTGCATCAACTAGTAAGCAGCATACAAAGTTGGTGGGAAACTAAAAGCACATTTGCTACAGGTGGATATTCATTGCCTATGATGAACCAGCAATTTGTTATCTGTTAAATAAGTTGAAGAATTCATATATGCACCTGTGACCAAAACATTACACCAGCTAAGAAGGCAAGGGTGTGTAATATTTCATTCTCGGCATTGAGGCGAATGAACAACAAAAATTCACCGGAACTCTGCAGTAAATGTGAAAAATCAGATAACTGGGCGTACTTTGAGCAAAAAAAAGAGGTTGCCACAACACAACGAGAGCCATTTACCATCCAAAACCAGGGCAATACTCCAAATAGCAAAATTGCAGAGTCCATTAGTATTGTAACAAACTCGTGAACAAAATGAAAGTAGCTGAAGAGAAAAATGAAAAATCAAATAAGTTAGTAAAAAAGACATGTAAAATCATTGCATGGAAAGTTGATGACCATCACTAGCAACTCGGATAGGTAGGAAATGAAAGAAAAAAGAAACCAACCTTTTATCAAGACTATAGGCACGGGACTTTTCAAACTTTTCTTGGCTGATCACTCCTTGCAACGTTTTCGGAAGTGTAGGCAGTTTGAGTGCAGCATGTTGCCGCAAGTCAAGATAAGACTCAAAGACATACATCAATATCATAAAACCTGTTCAACAAAAAACAAAATAAATATCAGTTAAAAACAATAGGAAAAACTCTGACTACAAAGGGGGCAGTTGGATGAAACCTCACACAATCACCACACTGATTCAAAAAACAAACAATAAGGATTCGGCATAAAAGATGCAAAGAGAAACATCTGCATATCAAAAGCTTTTCACATCTCTATGGTCTCTACATCTTAGAATACGCCCCTCAATGGGCAATAACACAACTCCATCAAGAACCTCTGCTATGTAATTAGCCAGCTTGCCCTTCTCCCCTAAGTTGGTAACACGTAATCATTAGAGTATGGAAGCAATCTAGCTCACCTTGAAAATGCAAGCATTAAGGAAATCGCCCATAAATAATATACAGTCTATCTGTTACTCTCTCTTTTTCTTAATTTTCCGCTTTCTATCATAACAGTAACTGAAACATCTTATTTGGCAAAAAGAATAGGAAAAGGCACAAATCTCAATTCAAGAAACAAAATAATCAGCAAAAAAAAATACAAGAAACAAAATAAACAAATTTCATAAACTAATCAAGATGAGTTGACACCGCCAAGCATGGGAAAAGCATGAGAAACCAGTACTTTATTTATGAATAAAGATAACCAACACACTATTTCCATTTCCAAAAAAATACGAATATTTAAGCACTAAGATCGTTTGAACACAAGAATGAAACCCTAAGAATCCAAAAGTTAATTGGAAAAGAACAATTAAAAAACCCAAAAAAAACAACAAAATCGCTAAAGATTTCAGGAATCTTTAATCCGCTCACTTTTCAAGCAAGTTAGGACCATTAGAGAAAGCAACAGATAAAGAAAGATGAGCAAGCAGAACATCTATATATATCCGTATGTTGCGAGCATGTGTGTGTAAAGATGTAGAGATGGAGGGTTTTAGAGAGAGAGAATCGTACCGACAACAGCTTCCATGTAAGGAAACGCCATGGCGGTCTCGGTGGTTGTAGCGTGAGTGAACTTCTGTTTGTGTGTAGGTGTGGAAGAGAGAGTAGTAGATAGAGATTTTTACAGAGAGGTGAAGGTTGATAAATGGGTCATGCTGCAGATTTTGTTGGAGCTAAAAGCCTAGTTGAACAAAAAGGCCCGGGTAGACTCGGCCGGCTATTTCAACCGACTGCAATTAGGCCCAGTAATCGTGCCGAGTCGGAACGATTTGTGTTAAAGTCTTAACAAATACATATCAAAAAAAAAAAGAACAATATTATTAAAACCTAATTTATTGATCTAATTCACTATAATCTTTGAATTGACTGTGAGCTCCATCAAACATTGAAACTTGGTGTTAATCCAATAATTTTAATAAAATTACGTCATTAGGTTAACAAATTATGTCAAATTTTAGGTTCAAATAACATTTTAAAAAAAAAAATATTCATCTGTATACGACCCGTTCATATAATAGGTGATAATTATAAAATAAAAAAATAGCTTATTAAATGAGTTACATGACATAATCTATGTTATCCTCTAATTCTATAGCACAAAAAAACTTCAATTAAAAGTCTAATTTTATAATAAATTAGGTCATCTATTAGATGAGTAATGTGACAAGTAATCGGGTAATACTAGTTTAGGTATTTTATTTAAATATGACTTGTTTATTATACGAGTTCACCTATTTGTCACCTGAACTCTTTTAAATTAATCTCATACTTTGTAATTTCGTGTTGATTCGTGTCAGTTAATAAATTCGTGTAAAATTTTGCTAAGCTTAATACAAACTCGGTAATTTAGTGATAATTCATGTTAGTTATGGATTGTCATTGAATTACAAATAGTTCTACTTAGTTTAAATCGCATAGATTTTTAATTTGTCATTGACTTGAGATCATTGGTCCAACTTTAAGAAACAAGTTAGATTGATTTATTTCATTTTAATATAATTAATTTAAATAAACTAATTCCAAATTGATCAATATTCAACACTAATTAAAATAACATGTTCCACCAAGTGGTTCTATCGTCCATCGGTCTAATGCACTAGGCTTATTTCATGAAGAAAAAAAAAAAAAAGATAAAATGTAGTTGTCTTATGTTCAGTGGACATCCTTAATAAAAATCAACTACTTGAATAAAGAAAAAAATGCCCCAAATTTCTAGCCATTTTTTTGGTGATACTTGTATCTCACTAGGAGTTGCAAAATATGTTTAACTCAGTTTGAATGTCTTTGAGTGAAAATGATAACTGCAGTGCAAAAACAACAATGGCAACGTAAAAATGTGGTGCAAATGATCATTCTATAGAGCCAAACATCACAGTCTCATCATAATCCAACAGCAGCTTGAGAGAGTCTATATTAATAAAAACATAACTACTACTTATAGGACGTTAGGCAGTTCAACAGTCTCTAAGCTGACACATGGACAAATATAGTCGTTATGAAACTCAAAAAGCGCTGAAAGAAGGCGTTGAGAAGTAATGACCCAGAGGAGCTGAGGGTAACTAATTGAACCCAACATTAAAAAGGATATGATTGCTTATTAATGAGAACTTGAATGACTGTGACGGAGCAATTAATGAGTCTTTGTGTCTTCGAGATCCACACAAACAGTCATCATTACAAAACATTAATGACTATTGCCCCGACCCAATATTCTCGGGAGACCCGAGGTCCTTTGTCCCGAGCAGTAAACACTCGGGAATAGGTGTCAAGCACTAATCAGATGTACTTAAATGGTCGGGGATAGAGCCATAAGTGCTCGACATGCCCCGAACAATCATCCTATTAGCCAAGTGAACTAGTTATGAGAATCTGAGTAGAAAACACTCATTATGTATGAATAAGAGTACAAGTCATTAAATATTGAGATGTGACTCAAGGCTCCTGCATTTATGGCTAGTCCAAGTATAAACCCTCTTCAAAAATACGAACAAAGGTACGCAAACTAACTGAGTAAAAACACTGTGCTAAAGCCTCCAACCCCTATTGACTTAGGTTTCAGAGGAGATCAGCCGGGTGTTCACCCGGCCTATTTCCTGACTTTTTGGTTGTTTCAGATTCATTATTCAGCAGATCGCTATTTCTATTCATTGTTGGAATCTTCCCATGCAACTACTTACATAAAGCGTAACAAGAAAATTCGAACAGACAAACTTTTTTCATTGCTACTTAAACTTTCAACTATACAATCTCTAACACAAGCAAATCGTTGTAAAAACAGATATACAAGAAAATATCGAATAGGTTGAGGAGAGCAAGATGTAGATTAGATAAACTGTTGCCAAAACATCACATTTCTTGCAAGAAACTTGGGCAGAATAAACAATTCCTCCAGCCGCAGCTCAAAAGTTTGGACATTGACGAAGTACCATTTGTCCCCTTCCATGCACCATTTGAGACATGCTTGTATCCTTCAATGAAAACCTTAATTTACTCTGATTCCCCTCGTATTTCTTCAACCACTTGTTGTCTTTTGCCAAAATCCTGCACTAGGCTTTAAGATTTGCTTCAGTAGAGCCATTTTGGGAACATTCCAATGCTCCACATGCCTGAAAGATTCCAGAAAGAGCAAATTGAAATAAAAACAACAACGTGGAATACATAGATGGAGTGTTTCAAACTATGTCATATTACCTGCATACTTTGCCAGATTGTTCATTGAAATAATACTCCGTATAACCAGTAGCTGCAACAGAACTCAGCAGTCAAAATTGACAATACAAGGACAATTCGTAGACATGTATTATTTGTTCTTAATATAAACATAACACTTGCATGCTAAATGAGTTAGTGTAATTGTGATTTCACCTTAAATTAAGCATGATTTTTGCTTAGTTATTCACCACATTCTTTATTTTTATCGATGCCTTGAAAGTACCTGAAAGAATGGGCTTCCATGGAAAAGACATGACACAACTAAAACGCCAGTGTCCAATTCCCTTATCCTGCTCCAAAAGATATTTAATACCAACAATTATAGTGTTTCGCTGTACAAAAGAATAAAGTTTTCATAAAAGAATGAAGAGCAATTGTAGCATCTCCATATGGCTTTGATGGAAATTATTTTAGTCAACAGATGTTTGCAGGTCAATTAGAAAACTGACCTCATGATCCTCCCATTTCGTAAGTTTCATATTAGATTTCTCAATAAGATATCCAAAATTTGTGCAGTTCCTTTTAAATCGGCGTAAACCTCGGAAGGAACCTGCTGGATCAGCGAACTCACATTCATCTTCATACACATCAAGTGTCAGGTTTCCTGAATGACATTCAAAGATTACTCAGGCTATCTGTGAACCATTGTAATATTTCTAAGTCTATACAACATATGGTAATATTTCCATATATTGGACTCCATAATTGAAAGGGATGCATTATTTTCCAGCCTACAAGCATCTTCAATAAAATCATAGACACTCCTATCCAAAGATAAAAGTAGCTTAAGAACTAGAAAATAACAGTGGCAGTCAGTCCTTTTCAACATTTAACCAGAAATAAAATGGTATTCAGGTGGATTCCCTATTCCTACTTATAAGCATAACCTTTTACTTGAACCATCAATGATTGATGAACCTGCAGATCCATTTGAAATAGGGGGAAAAAATACCATTGTAACTATGCTGGCATAACCTCTCAAGACAATACGGTTCTGTTAACACATGCTTAACAGTGGGCAATGAATCAGAGTTTGATCCGAGTTGCCCCAGTTCAAATCCAACTATTAAAGCATAGATTGATATTTTTTATGGCTAATCCAAACATGAATTGTTACCGAATTTATGATCGAATTGTGATACTAGACAAAGATTAAGCAAATAACTAAGAAGTCAACAACTACCTTGCTCACTTCCTGCTACTACCCTGAATCCCTAGTAATTAATATTTATTTGCTAAATGCTTTTAGTGAAAAACCAAAACCGTACACAAAAAGCAGAAGTTCGAAGCATGCTTGCTCGGAATCCAAAACTAATAACAGGAAAAAAAAATATATTTCAAAATGTCTAAGCCCCTTTAGTCCTTGACCTCTTCACTGAAAAAAGATACTATGGAGGCAAATCGATGAAAGTCAGAACGGAGACGGAATGTTTACAGTTGTTGTAGTAAGGTTTTTTTTCATTTCCTGTCCGGTCTTTCAATAAGTAGTCAGCTGCGACTAAGAAACCTCGTTTTGATAGTCAATTGATCTAAAAAGTTCAGCAATTGATTTGAGCCAACTTACTCAGACCTAATCATTTTCCTCAACTTTCTTGGCAACCAAACAGAATCAATTGGGGGGGAGGGGGCAGTTCAGAACCTGTAACGAAGTAGGATCTTTGGAAGTCCTCTTTGATGGTTTCCACAACTATGACACGATCAACAGCTCCTGATCCATCAACGTCAAGCTCCGGAACTCTGCCGACGACAGCTTCGACGTTAGACGGTGACCGGAAAAGAGAGGCGGCAATGCCGAGGAGCTCAGAGCTATACCAAGCCATCTTTAGCAGAAGATTTTCAGATTCGGAGTCTTTACCGACGGATGAATTGCTATTGCTTCTTGTATTCTCTCCATTGCATCGGAATCTGTAAACTCTGTGGTGGTGATTTGGCCGGAAAATGACGTGGCGGTGGTGGGATTGGAGGTGGGGAGTGACAGAAGCTTGCGAGAGTAGGGTCGCCATTGAGCGAGAGAATTGTTGGTTGTTGAAAGTTGGAAAGATTGTCCCGCTATTTCGTTTCGAATATCTTCAGCCTGAATGAATTCTAGCCATAAAACGGTCCTCGCAAGGACCATTAGCTAGCATATAACCCCCCCCTCTCTCTCTCTCTCTCTCTCTCTCTCTCTCTCTCTCTCTCTCTCTCTCGCGGGTGCAACTTAGCGGTTAGACAGTTCACATAATTCAACCCTAAGTATATAATGATTTTGGGTTATTTTACGAGTTTAATTTGAATTTAGTTTAAATAGAGCTCAAAAAAAGTTTGTTATTCTAAATCTAATACATATATTACATAATATTCACCTAAATTAACAACCAATAACTTCAACTAAATTTTTAACAGTATTAATGTTAGAACAAAAATAAAAATGAATGAGAGAGATAGAGAACGATAGAACAAAAATAAAAAATCAGTGTTAATATTTTATATATATATAATTTTTTTTTAATTTTTCGGGGTTGGGTTGAACCCGTAAACCCGAGGCTTTAACCCGAACCCTAACCTAAATTAAATTCGGGTTGAAGTTTTTTGGCTTAAACCCAACCCAAGTATTAAAAATCCTTCCCCAAACCCTAATTTTTTTGGATTGGGATCAAGTTGAAATCGAGTTGCCTAACCTAAGTTGCACCTCTACTCTCTCCCATAAAAAAATCGATTATATTATAATAAATTTTATAATTCAAATTAATTTATATTTATTATTTTTTAAAAAAAAATTGATAAATTTTTTTCATATAACCTCAATAAAATATCAACATGTTTATAATGTCGTATATGAATAATATTTGAAATACAAATTGCTTTGAATTAAAAATTAAATGATTTAATGTGCATTTTGCATTAAATGCTATTCACCACAAAGACCAGTTATAATAAAATAAAAAGTTCTATTGGAATTGTTAAAAAAATTTAACCTTTCTTTTTTTAAACTTTTCATCAAAAATATTTTTTATTTTAAAAAAATACTCTTTAAAATATAAAGTACTATCGCAGATACTCTTAATCAATCTCACCCTCTGTATAATTTGGTTGGAACAATACTAAAGTTACTCTAGCAGTGTCCACCATTCATCATCACGTAATATCTTCTACAATTGGTCAAAGAATTACATGTGTGGTCTAGTGGTGTTTAATGCCCAAGGTCTTGCTTGACGCGTCCAATTATGGTGACTTACAGGAAGTACCTTGTCCCCCATACACTTTCTGACTAGCCAAAAAACAAAAAAAAATGCTAAGTGCCATAGATTTATCCCATAACTATACATATACATACTTGCCAAATTTACAAAGTACTATATACCATTTGTTAATGCTTTTCGAAGCAATCTTAACAAAAAAAAATGTCAAAAAAAATATTTTTAATTACTATTTACAAAAATGATTCATATGCATCTAAGTGTATGCATAATGTACTTGTATGTAGAAGAGATATGTAAGTACATACAGATAAACTTCAAATAAGTCAGCAAACCTATAAGACAAAAAGGAAAAAAAAAAAAGAAAGAAAGAAAGAAAGAAAGAAAAGCCAAATTGCAAAACAAAATATACTAAAAAAAAGTGCATAAAAAACAGAAAGAAATAAAACAGCAAAGTATTTACACAAATCATTGCTAAACGGTGCCTCTCTGGGTGAAGAATGCTCAAGCCCAGGTAGCATTTATAGACCACAGAGACACCCCCTGCGCATCAATGCTACCTAACTACTCCCAACTGCTGGGCATATACCAATTTCAGAAGGTTTCCGAAGTCCAAGTCACAGACAAAGGTACATCCACAAAGTATAACATGCTACAACTCAAGATCGGCCACAAAATTTTACTCTGTTACAACTTACAAACAGAAAACAGCATACTTCTCTCTCTCTCTCTCTCTTTCTTTCTCGCTCTCTCCCTCTGGTCGTTTGTTCAGCTACAATAAGGTTACAGTCATATAGCTCCATACCAAGCCGCGAAGGAAGTCGAAGGACGGGTGTGTCAAATGTGTCAGTTGCAAGTTCTAGCAAAAAACGAGTGCACTTCATGCATAATAGATCATGCGTAATAGACATTATTGAGGTTCATGTCAGCATATCATCTCAATAGCAGCAGGTAAAATGCAAAACTTCCTTGGAAGGAACCCTAGATACTCCCCATCTGACTGAACATAAATGCTGCCACTGCCAAGAATCTCCTCAACCTCAATGAAGTGCATACTGAAAAGCAAACGAGGGGGCATAAAAGGCGAGCACATCAGATTGTAACACCACCTTAAACGACTATGAATCAAGCTAAATAAGAGTATCTAATCCTGCATGAATACCACTTGTAGCATTTATGGCTTCATTTACTAGAAAAGCATGAAATCAGACAACACCAAAGTCGGAAGACAATTGAAAAGAGTCACAGATGCATCCTCAAAATTTGTATATCACATCTCCAGGCAATTAAGAATCAATTGTAATCTATATCAACGATTTTTTCCTTTCTTTCTAGGTCTACATCAACATTTTTTGAGGCGAAAAAAACTATATGAAGGTTGGTTTCATTAAGGACCATAAAAACAGCACATGGAACATGCAAGCTCCCAAACTTCTTGTCTCTCTTCATATTCTGCCAGTGTTTTTGCTACAATAATTACTTCCCAATTGTTCAACGTGCCAGGACAGAGACCGACTCAGGTTTGCACTAAAACTAGCAGTGTACATTTGAGTTTGTCTCCACTATTGTTCTGTCATGATTTTAAAGATTGTCAATTACAGAGCATACCACCGTTACAAAACAGACTCTGAGGAGTCCGATCCTGTTACAGACCACTTAGTAACAGGCCGTGAATTCTGTGACCACAAAAAGAGTATGATGTTCACACTCAGTTCGGCAGGGACCCTTCCCTTGTAAATGAAAATGATATTGTTACTTCAAATTCATTTATTAGCCCACTTTTGCATCTTCCATATTTAAGCTAGATTTGGCTATGAAGACCTTAATGAGACTTTTGAATATCTTCCACCACTTTTTCTGTAGTAAAACTGTTAAATAGGGACTATTCATCTTTATGTTCCCTTCACTTTCTAGTTTCATGTAATCTGTAATTAAGAACAACGTTGTTTCAAGTTAACCACTTAATGTTAAAGGAAGTAGAAGGAACATGATTACCATAATATATCACCATTGGCAGATCCGTGCAACGCACAAGATTAACATCCCCACCCCATCCTTCCATATACACTCTGGTCCCCTCTCCCAACCCATTCAATTGGTCTACTAGTGTCAGAGAGGGAAGATAATAGGAAGGCAAGAAATTTAAAGAGAAGAGGGAGCAGGAAGTTGAAGAAGTGGGAATTTAGGGGAGTTAGTATATGCATTAAGTCATGTTATCGATGTGTAATTTAATTATATGTTTTAATTAAGGCCATAATATGAGAATTAAGCCAATAGGGAAGGAAGACTTCTCAATCCCTCTCCCCACAATTTGGTTGTTATCGTTTACTAGATTTATCCATCTAATTACTCAACATCCAATTGTTACCGTTATTTAAACCACTTTGTTGTAGACATTAATATGATCTTAAGACATTGTGCCTTGTCATCACATATGAACACTAAGAAAGAAGACAACCATCTAAGTGAAGTAGTGAACATGTGTGCATATATGGCCTAATAGGAGAAAGGAGGAGGGAGGGTTTGCAAACAAAGCAAGAAAAAGAAGTGAAGACAAGCTTTAAAGAGAAACTACACATCGATAACATGACACGGAAGACAACTTAGAGCACGATTGTTCAGTCAGCATAAAGAACAGAGAGAAAATCAATTAGATGACAAAGAAGAAATCTTGGAGGACATCTCTCATTCAGCATAAGTTGACGTGAGATATTACAGAGAATCAGTCATCTCCTAATTGAATATGGTTAATAGATAACATATCCTTGGTTCAAATGAGGGACTATAAATATGTGAAGTTATAATTCCTGATTCCTCAGACAAATAGGTGCAAAAATGAAGAACTAGCAAAATAAAAAAACCATCTTGCAGTGAAATAACTAAAGACAGATAAAAGGATGAAAAAAAAATACTTGACTATTTACATTTAGAGAAAGAATATGCATACCTTTTTGAATATACATTTCTCACCGATAAGTGTGTCCCATCATACAGCTTATGTAGCTTAAGAATAAAGTCATACCATTTGAAGTCCTGAAGAATAACCACCTGCACAGACATTAAGTAGCCCAAGGTAACTTTGTGCCAAGGAAGCTTTCACTATCACAAAGGAAAGGAAAAAGATTAAGCAAGAAGACAACATGAGATTTTTTGACCTCAAAATTTCCACTTGAAGGATCAGCATTTGGTGTAATCTTCATTCCACCACCAAAGAATTTTGCATTTCCAATGCAAACAGCTGTTACCTGAGAATATACTTCCCACTCACCCTCATTGACCTATATCAACCGCATTGTGAAGTTCATTGGATACTGTTAATATCTTTATAACTAGTATTTTTTTATCACGACCCAAGAATTTATAAGTAAATGCTTTATTATAGAAAAAGAAAACAACATCACTAGCACAGGACATGCGAAAACTCCAGAGACAAGTTATCATTGAAAATATCAAAACATATCAACCTTGATCCTAAGGTCCTGGTTATGATGCCCCCAAAACGCTTGCAAAGCACCAATGACATAGCATAAATTTCCAAATCTTTTGTATCTAGATGAGTAATAACCTGCTTTGGCACTCCTGAAAATTCCACATTACATAATGAGATATCTAAAATCAACATGTGTTCTTCAATCAAGCTTAGCTTGTATATATTCTTAATTTGTTTCCGTACAAATGAATATCAGCAACATTTATGAAATAGTGAGGCTCTTCATTTTCTGCAGTAATAACTCCCACATCAACCCGAGATCTCAATCCTGCAAAACACCTTTATCAGAAGACAATTGTCAAAAAGGTAATGACATATATAGTAGAAGCTACTAATGGATTTAAAAAAAAAAACTACAAGCTTTGGCATTAACAAAATCAGAATAAAATGATAAATAGGTGTAAAGAAGCTTGAGTAGATTACCTCTAGCTATGCGTTCAATGGCATCATGAGGATCATTTTTCCTGATAAATAACATCAGATACATCAAATACAATAGCAGACACTTTTACTCAAAGCCCTGAAGCAGAGGCTAATCATAAGAATCTCATCTGAATGAAATCACTGGGAGAAGAACCAACTAACCAGCGAAACGTTCTTGCAAAATCAGATCCAGTCCCTAACGGGATAAGCTGCAGAGAAGGCAAAAGACATCATGTCTTCCTCTCAATAACCAACACCAAGCAGTTCACAATGCACGCTAAATCAGGTCCATGAAGAAAGTTAAAGATATAAATATCAGAGCAGGCAGATGATCACTTACACCAAGTGCAGTTGTATGGATAGCCTTTGTATCACTATTAGAAACAGGTTTTCCTCCCCAGAAGAAGCCATTAACAACCTGCTAATTGCAAACCACATGATAAGCCAGAAAAAAAAAGTAATAAATATTTAGGGTATATAAATGTCCCCCATCAGAACAAAGTCATTTCAATATGAGATGTCTTCATATAGCCTAACCCAAAGAAATGTTAACCTTCTGAAAAATGCAATCACCCTTGCATTAGCAAAAGCATGCATAACACACCGATCATTTTCTTAGTGTATATGAATAGAGAGAATAATAGTTGACACATTGTTGAAAAAACAAAAGGGAACGTACCAAAGCCACAATTCTTTTTGATCATAAAAGAAGAATTTCCATAGTCGTTCGGCTTCTTTCTTAAATACTTTAATTAGCAAACTTGTTTATTCATTTATCTACCCATTCCAAATGGCAAGTTGCTTCCTCAATTGAACCATTTCTTCTGATTTAGACGAGAATGAAGAACTCTTAATATTTTGCTCCATTTATGGCACAAACATATGACAACCAATCCATATAGAATAAACATCATCGTTCAGGACACTTAAAAGTCAAGATCTGCATGCTTCAAATTTCACCCCTGTTTAAAGTTTATTTTCCTCTGAAAAATCACCTCATTAGCATTTACCATGAAAAAACCAGGAAAGAGGAGAAGATTGATAAATGCAACTGCCAAGTGTATGAGTGTCAATTCTTAAAGAGAAGCATTATGCACCTCATGAAGAGTTCCATCACCCCCTACTGCAACCACTGCATCAGCACCCTCGCGTATAGCCTGCAAAGAACAACGGACTTTACGAATTCCACACCTATTAAGATGTAAGCTCCACCAAAAAAGGCAAGAAACGCCTACCTCCCTTGTTATGTCAATGGCATGAGAAGGACCCGACGTCAAGGATTCCCATATCTGATCACAAATGGATAACATTCTTAGCTCGTTAATTCAATCTGAAAGTAAACAAACACATCCACTGAAGGATATAGAAAATAAATTGTAACAAAAGTCCCACAACAGAAAGGCAGGATGAGACACCACTTGAGATTAAGCATGTCATAGCACTAGCACTGTTCCAAATAATCAATTATATGCTGCCTTCGAAACAGGTGAATTTTGTCATTCTCTGACTAACCTCTCTGATATCTGTAATCAGTGACCTTTAACAATCCATTATGGGTGCCAGAAACGGTTCACAAACCTACTTATGCACAAGCCAAAATTCAAGTTTGACATTTATTTGGATCAGCCAAACAATTAAGCAAATGAGAAACACTGGGTTCAAGCTAGACGCAAGCCTGGTAATAAAACCTTTTGACTAAATTCACTCGTTGAATTAACAACAATTGTCGTCTAGTGTCTTCCCTTCTGTATAATTATTATATTTATACTTGAATGTGTATAATTTAGAGAAAACCTTACAACATTCAACATGCTGCTGTTTGAAAAAATAAAGAACAAAAAGAGACTAATTGAGACTAATTGAGACAAATTTCAATTCAGATAGGACTCACATTGCAATCAGCGCCGAGGCGAGACCTGAGATACGGTACCAGCTTCTTCCATTCTTTCCCGGTACGTCCATTAGCACCTGAGCCAATTTCAATTCAAAAAACAAAAAGACCCAAAACCTCCACCAGACACACACATTCAGAGAGAGAAAGAGAGAGTACGCTTGCTTAAAACCTCGGGGGTTGACGACAAATACGATGTCGCGGCGGCGAATGTGGGCTCCGCCACCGTAAACGCCTCGCTCGGTGGAGAGATCAGGAACCAAAGGTTCTTCCGCTCTGATAAACGAGGGTTTCGCCATTGCCACCACCGCTATCCTGCAACAAAACATTGTACACCGCTGTGCGTATATATATGACCATTAGAGAGAGAGAGACTGTGTTTAGTTGCTGCATTTTATAAGAGCCTTATTTAAGAAGCTAAAGAAAGAGAAAACAAGGATTGAGGGAAAATTACATCCATATTCCCTGAACTTTGTCGCTAAAACACTTGGACCCCATTTGGTATGACAAATAACACTAACATCCCTCGAGAAATGGGCTTGTTACATACATGAATAATGGTTACACCATATCAGCATTATTAGGTAATATAATCGTACAATATTAAACAAATAAGTGGACAAGTAAACCTCACATTTGAAATGTTTAGTGATTATTATCTTATATGAATGAGTAGAGTCTATTTTGTCTAATTGTTTAATGGATTAATTATAAATTGTACCTTAAAAAATTATTTAAATTTTAATTTGTATCCTCAAAGATATAAATTTATATCAATATGTACCCTCAAATATCAAAAATTTTAATTTATACCATCAAAAATAAAAATTTGTATTAATGTGCGCTTAAAACTAACTATCGTTAATTTGCTGTCTAAAATTAAATTAATAAATTATACTTAAATCCCCTCATACTTTTCACTTAACAAAATAAATGATAATATGAATTATCCTTTATTTCATCATTGAATTATCATTTTGTTTAATATAATATAACCATTATACCTAATATTTACTCCATACCAAGATTCTTGTCGCCGTTGTGTTTTTAAGAGATGGTCAAAATTGAATGAGATCAGTATATTTTTAACATGGAATTTCCAAATTAGCCATCATTGTTCGTTTAAGATATGGTAAAAATTGGATGATATCAACATAATACCTAAAAGAGGTACATGGAATTTTGTGACAAATCTTATGGGGTCTATATGTAATTTACCCAAAGATTAATTAACCTATACTTAGAGTACAACAGCCTAAAAACAAACAAAGCTTGGAGTAGTTGGAGAGACCAATGGAGAAGGCGGCCATTGATTTCTTTCTTTGACTTGTCATCATCGCCGTCGCCGGTGCTGTCCGAAATCTACTAAATCTATAATATAAATACGGTTTCAAATTCGTTAAACCAACAGTAAAAAAATTATAATTTTTTTCTTAATATTCCTCTCCAATAAATCAACAATTATGACTGATTTTTTAACATATCTTACGTTCTCAAATTTATTCATTCAACTGTTAAAAAATTAATATTTTTTTTCCTTAATATTTTTTCTCTCAATCGGTCAACGATTACGACTGATCTTGAAATACAAAATTTTCTCTGATATAATAATTAAATTGGTCAAATTTGTTATTAATATCATCTGTGTAGTGTAATATTTTGAATTTGCATAAGATACAACGATAACATTTTGATTAAAAAAAACTCATCAATTTAAGATAAAATAAAAACAAGGGCGCTGATATCTTTTACATATCTTAAATAAAAAATTCAGAACTAATTTTTTTTTATATCTTAAGGAAACCTAAAGCTAATATATTCTTTTAAATTAATAATTTTGTAATAGCTTATACTAATTAAAAAATAATATTTTATAAATGATATTTGTAAATTTTTTTTTGATAGTAAATATTTTGACGACATGCTTTTTTGATAAATTAAATTTTTAGTTTGTATTAAATTTAACTCGATTTTGATTGCATGTATATAAATTAACATTTTTTTAAAATCAATTTTATCATATTTTTGTGGATTTATCTATAATATCCATAATATAAAATAGGGCGGCTTTAACAGGCCTATCCTACGGTCTAAAATTCATTCATCTAATGGCCATCAACATCTCTTTCAAAATCATTCATATTGAATTTTACCCTTCTCTTCTCACTCTTCACTCTCTCTCAATAGCAGTGGCAGTGGCAGTGGCAGAAGAGGAATGGTCTAGGGCACCCTGAAAAAATATATATTTTTTTAGTTATATAAGTTTTATATATTTTTTTTGGATTAATTGAACCCACTGCAATGATTTATGAAAAAAAAAATTAATTAGGTTAAACAAGTTGGATACTAGAACAAAAAAACAAAACCAAAAAGTTCATCCAAATCTCTTAAAATTAGCAAACTAAAATTGATTGTTTAGAGTATTAATATGATTTGTTGAAGCCTCATTTGGTTCAAAAATTATGGAATACATAGCCAAATGAGTAAATATGGAATTTGTAATTAAAAAAAAATTATAGAATATTATTTTTATTTGTATCAAATATATATCTATAATATAAAACAAGACGGCTTCTACAAGTTTATCTTACACTTTCAAATTCATTCATTTAACAATCAAGAAATTACCATTTTTTTCTTAATATTTTCTCTTTCAACCGATCAACGATTACGGCTGATTTTGGAACATATCTTACGGTCTCAAATTTATTCATTCAACGGTCAATAAATTAACATTTTTATCCTTAATATTTTTCCTCCCAACCAGTCAAAGATTATAGCTGACTTGGATCACAAGATTTTCTCTAACATGATAATTAAATAGTTCAAATTTGCCATTAACATCAACTATGTAGTGTAACATTTTAAATTTAAATAAGTGACAATGATAATATTTTGATTAAAAAAAAACTCATCAATTTGACAAATTAAAAAAAACAAAGGTGCTACTTAACAAATTTATATTGAATATAATTAATTTTAATTTTAATTAACTATTTCAAACTAACATGTTTTACACATGTCTTGAATCAAAAGTTCAAGACTATTTTTTTTATCTATTAAAAAAAATCCAATGTTAATATATTCTTATAAATTAGTAATTTTATAATAACTTCTACTAATTAAAAAAATAATATTTTATAAATAATATTTGTAGATCTTTTTTTGATAGAAAATATTTTTACGATATACTTTTTGATAAATTAGATTTTTAGTTTGTATTAAATTTGACTCGATTTTGATTACCTATAAAATAAAATAGCTTACAATTTAAATCTTAAAAGATATATTTGCGGTTAAGATCGCTTTTAAATTTTACTTTAATGTTAATCTAACGGCTAATATTAACATTCTAAAATTAATAAAAAAATAGGGTCCTAAAGGTGTGTTTAAAGTGACTTTTTAAAAATATTTTTAGAAATTATTACTCATTAATACTTTAAAAAAATTACTATTTGAAACCGCTCTACCGCTATCTCTACCACCACTACCATCGCCTTCGCCACCGCTACTACCACCGCCATCACCACCATTGTCGCCGTCGTCGCCTCCACCGCCACCCCCGCCACTTCCACCACCACCGTCGTCGCCACCACCGCCGTTATCATCGCCTCCACCACTGCCACCACCACCATCAACGCTACCGTCGCTGCCACCATGGTCATTGCCACCCACTATAACCATCATCATCTCCTACCACCACTATTGTCGCCCACCACTTCTCACCTTCACTACAAACTAATGTTTAAATTTCTTTATCTCTTTTTTATTTTGTGATTTAATTTTGGATATGAATACAAATATTTTTATTGTTTACCCTTTTTTATTATTCTATGTCTTCAAGTACAGACAATAACTAGTATGTATATAAATTAATATTCGATTTTAATTACATGTATATAAATTAAAAATTTTTTAAGTTAATTCTATTATATTTTGTGGATTCTATAATATAAAACAGGGTGAGTTCAATAAGTCCATTCGACGGTCTCAAATAAACTCATCTAACGGTCACCAACAACTCTCTCAATATCATTTATATTGAATTTTACCTTCTTCTTCTCACTCTTTACTTTCTTTCTCTGGCAATGGTGGAGGGAGGAGGAGCCCGAGGCCACCCTGATTTTTTTTTTTTAATTATATATTTTTTTAGATTAGTTGGGTCCACTGTAATGATTTATGAAAAATAAAATTAATTGGATCAAACAAGTTGGGTACTAGAACAAAAAAATAAAAACAAAAATTTCATATCAAATCTCTTAAAATTAGCAAATTAAAATTGATTCCTTAAAATATTGGTATGATTTGTTAAAGTCTCATTTGGTTCAAAAGTTATAGAGTATATAACAAAAAATGAATAAAATATAGAATTTATAAAAAGATTAAAAATAATAGAATATTGCTTTTATTTGTATCAAATAAATTATATGATTGATCCTTAATGTATAAACTATATTAAAATTCATTCATCCAACAGCCACTAACATCTCTTCTCAAGACCTTTTTTATTTTTAATGATTTTTTGAGTATCAAAATTGATAAGGGTGAAATTTTGGGCATGGGCCGCCATGAGCCCGAAGCCCAAGGTGCCATGAGGAACCGAAGTTAAAGCTCATTGGCCCAATAAGCGACTTTAATCAGCTCATGTCAAAGAGCTGAATGGGCGAGGCCCGGTGGGCACCCGAGGGGTAGTGGCCCAGTCCCGGGCCAATTAGGTGCTAGCTAAAGGGGAACTCGAGGAAGAAGAAACGGATCCTTGCCCCGGAGTGTTCCCGTCGTGCCACATGTCCAGAGGACAAAGGGACCATCTTTGAAACTTGATAACTTCTACATTGGCCCGCACACAGAAGATGGTGGAGCATAATACTCTAGAGATCGTGAGCACAGTAATGCCAGTCGAAAAAAACTTTTACAGGACAAAGACAGGAGGCCCCCACAAAATCGGTAAAAAGGGAGGAGAAACCACTAGAAACCATAACAGAGACGACCCATATATATATAGAACAGTGCCCTACAGAAAGGGGCCCCCGGAGAACATTTATCAACCGTGTCCACTTTGTAAGTAAAAGATCAATCCCCGTAAAGGCCTAGCGCCTAAATCCCGGTTGTATCCATCGGAGATCCAATATACAAAATCAAGGAGCAAGAGACTCCATTAGAGTGGACATAATCTTAGTCTATTGGCTAAGACGAACCACTTATCTTCTGTGTTTTCTTTTTCACCAGATAACCCAATCTACTAAATCAACTCTTACACCAGACCCAATAGCCTCGCATACGTTGGGCTTGAGTTGTGGCTTTCAAGACCCCATCAAAATCTAATAAAAAAAATATAAATATACTACTAATTGTCC